TAAAAAGTGGTATCCCACAGAGAGTTTGACTGCCTTTTCCTCTGTATCTCACCCCTAACTTTCCTGTGTTATTACACATATTACAGGATCTCCACTGAGCCCTCTCAAGCCTCCTGGATCATGATGTCATTCCCCAGTTGCTGTGGCAGAACAGTTTTATGGGTTTTACAATAACCTGCTCACCTATTTACAAGCTCAAAAATTTCATTCACCCCATCTCAGAGCTCTGAATGTTTTAATTTGGGTCCAGAAATTATGCATGGAATCTACCAAATCTTTCATCGACCCTCTTCATCAGGGAGACTATCTGGCTTCTGTGGACATTGATAATGCTTACCTTCATATCTTCAGCTAGCCAGTGCATCAGCATTTCCTACACTTTGCTGTGGAGTCTGTGCACCACCAGTTTGTGACTCTGCCCTTCAACCTCTCGTTGTTAGACTCTATGCTTTTGCAGGAGTGTCTTGGACTGATGGTTGCCTCTGTTTGAGTGTCATGAGCTAACCTGCAGTTCCCTGTTTGGGAAATTCTCCCCTCGATCCTAGAGCCGTGATGCCATTCACAGTTGCTGCTGGCTTCTGTGTTCACCCGTGGGTAGTCCCCTGCTCTACTGTGAATTCATATCTCTTTCCGTCTATCATTTCCTGGTCCACCTCCCAGTCTGTTTCCATATATATATATATATATATATATATATATACATACACACACACATACATACATATGCTCAGTTCAGCACACATTGCCTGAGCAACTTCCCAGTTTCCTTGTGGGGGTTTGCCTTGTATTACTTGTATTCTGTGCCTGACTACCCCGCTTCCTCTTCCATTTTCACTTGCATGCTGCCCACCCTGATTTTGTTTCCTTTCCCAAATCCTCTTCTGTCTCCTAGCATCTGAACTAAGCACATGTGAGTGGTCTCCACACTGTCAGCTTTGTGTACCTGGGGGCCGTGACATGGTTCCAGTTTGCTGTATGTCCATCCCCACCAGCAGGGGCCTTGGTGGAGAAGCAAGCTGGGGCTTTGACTCAACACCCTGAGTTGGCTTTCTACAAGGGCTCACTACCATAGAAACCTGACATTGAGGCAGTTCTTTTTTTTTTCCAGGTTTCACTCATAGATTTCTGATTAAAAACCACAGGAATAGAAGGTGACCATCCTCAGTACCTGTGGCACTGTTCATTACATTTTACATGGTGTCCACTTGTAATGATATTTTGCACCTTAGGTTCAAGCTGGGTATAGCTCACACTGGAGTCCCCACCAGCCTCCAAAGATGAGTTCTGGTTAGAAAGAGGCAGTTGAAGGCACTTGTGATCTATCTTCAGAAGCTGTGAGTAAAGCGGAACTTATTGGCTTAGTTCCACCCTGCCATCCGCAGATGAGGCAGTGAAAGCAATCACAAGCATGACATTAGGAAAGTCTCTGGGATAACATGAAATTCTTATATAATTGCTCAAATTCACCACTCAGCACTTCACAATTCACCCTTTCCTTCTCATTTTTTGAATATTTTTGGATCAATCTGGCTTTGGTGTTCAAAGCAAACCTGTACTATATCCCAATCAACAGGTTCACTTGAATCCAACATCCTCCAGCAACTTCCAATGACCTTTTCTTTGCACTCTTGCCTCAGTTCAGCCACTGGGCACACTGTAAATACACATGTAAATCTTAACGCCATATGCAGCAACAGTAGGCATCGTGGGAGCAGGGAAACACAGTCAGTGCATTTTGTGCTACTAGTGCTTATTCTTTCTTTGACTGTGTTTCCTTGCTTCCACGGTGCCTACTGTTGCTGCATATGGCGTTTTAAAGATTATCAATGAAGATGTGTTTTTTAAAGTGTGAACCCTTTTGGATCCTATTGCATTTGTTCCACCTGGCTGAATGAGCGGTGCTTGCAACTGAATACACGAGGTGAAATGGGACTGTGTGGCAGGACCCACCTGGAGCAGGAGCATACACAAAGCAAATATGCAATATTGTCACCATGGAGCAGGGAGGGCCCAAAACTCTATGCAAACTCCAGCTGGAATAAATCCGAGTTTACTTAAGGTGGCTGAATGGAACATTGAGGGATTGGTATGTGTCTCTGGGGAAGGGGAACACTAAATACAGGCTCAATCAACACTGCATAGAAGTAGAATCATACGCAACATAGCTACCCACCATATTTGATCAGTAAAAATACAAAATCGAATTGCTTGCTATGAGTTATCACTTTTTGCCTTACCTGATTGGTGCACCATCCTCCGCAGCAGTGGTCTCCAAACTGTGGCCACATGCGGCCCTTTGCTTGCCTTTATCTGACCCTTGGGGACATTATTCCTCCTACTGATACTAACAATGGGGCATAGTACCTGCCACTGACACCAAAGATGGGCCACTATTCTTCCCCAGTACCACACCGGCCAAAGTCTGGTCCCTTCAAGGTCTGAAGGACAGTAAACTTGGCCTTTGTTTAGAAAGTTTGGAGACCATTGCTCCACAGGATCAGGGGAAAGCTGAAAGAGGCTAAACTGACAACCATGGGGTTTATTTACTACACCTGGTTGACTCAGAATCTTGGGCACCTGTGCACGGTAGCCAATCAGCTTCTAACCTTAGCATGTTCAGTTAAGCTTCAGCAATAAAACCTGGAAGCTGATTGGTTTTTATGCAGAAGTGGACAAGATTCTGAGTCAACCAGGTTTAGTAAATAAACCCCCATATGTCATCTTACCCCTGCAAGGCGGCACCTGAGTCAAAACTTTCGTCAAGGCTTGTCCAGTAGGATGGCAGAACTTGTGATATTGGTTGTTGGCAGGAAGAAATGTTCTCATGTCAAATTCTGTGGCTATCCAGTAGACTGTTAGAAAAGATTTTATGTAAGGTTTAGAGTTGAAAACCCGTGCCCCACCCATAGTGATAACTTCAGCTTTTCACTGGACAAAATATATCCTATAGATGCAGTCAGATAGTAACATGTATGGTCAGCTTAAAGTGGACTTCACCCTAAATTAAAACTTATTTCCCCATCTCCCTCACAGTTGAATACACTGCTGTTCAAAGGTTTGAATGCTTTCAGAAATAGAAGTGTTCATGGTTATTTTTATTAACAAAATGGAAAGTAAGTGAACAGAAGAGAAAATCAAATCAAATCAATATTTGGTGTGACCGCCCTTTGACTTCAAACCAGCATCAGTTCTGGGTTGACTTGCACACAGTTTTTGAAGTAACTCGGTAGGTAGGTAGGTTGTTCCAAACATCTTGGAGAACTAAGCACAGATCTTCTCTGGATGTAGGTTGCCTCAGATCCTTCTGCCTTTTTTACTGGCATCACTAGGGTTGGTGTCACCTGGTGCTGTAAAACATGGTGTTACCCGCCCATGGTAGCATATGCAACCTCTGTGACCCTGGTTGTTCCACCACTGGTTAGATAGTTCCTAATGTCTTATTCTCTTGTGGTGTTAGCAATGAGTGGCTACAAGGCCTTCTCACCAGCTCCAGCAACACAGCAGCAGTGGTCCCTTCGATCAGGTGTCCATTCACTCTCGGTTTCCCATGGTGACTCCAGTAGACAGTGCAGCAAGGTCCAAATCCTGGCAGTGGCTCTGCAACATAATCCTCTTGCTCTTGCAGTCTTCCCTACATGGTACTCGCTTGGTGGTTTTTCAGCAGCTCAGGTGGGAACTGTACCACACATTCCGCCCAGAACTCTCTCTCCTTTAAAAGCAGCATGTAGTTCAACCCCATGAGCTTTGGGGAACAGTCCACTCCTTGGGACTACATGTAACATCATGCCCCTCCAGTCTTTTCTGATTGGCTTCTTGTTCTGCTTAGCCAGAGGGAGGGGGAGGAGAGAGTAGCGATTACACCATGACTGCTGCTGATAGGAGGAGAGGGGCGAGTGGGTAGCAAGCAGATAACCTGCAGATGGGTCTTTCCTCTGTAATAACACAGCCAACCCGAGACCCATTGTAATGCCCCCCACAGTGATGGGAGGGTAAGGCAAAAGAGTGGGGGGGGGAGCATAGCACTTAGCTACCACATTAAAGATGGCCCTGGGTGTCACCCCTCTGGTGGGTGTCACCTGGGTGCTGTCTGCACCCCCATAGCGACGCCACTGTGTCTCTTCATGTAATCCCAGACAGACCCCATAATATTGAGATCAGGGTTCTGTGGGAGCTAAACCATCACTTCCAGGAATCCTCGTTCTTTTTTACACTGAAGATAGTTCTTAATGGCATTGGCTGTATGTTGGGGGTCGTTTGTCCTGCTGCAGAATACATTTTGGGCCACTCGCACATCTCCCTGATGGTAAGGCATGATGGATACGTATCTGCCTGTATTTCTCAGTATTGGGGACACCATATTGATCCTGACCAAATCTCCAACTCCATTTGCAGAAATGCAGCCCCAAACTTGCAAGGAATCTCCAACATGCTTCACAGTTGCCTGCAGTCAAATTATTGTACCTCTTTCCAGCCCCCCCCCCCCCCCAGCAAACTGCCTCCTGCTACAGCCAAATATTTTCACATTTTGGCTCATCAATCCAGAGCACCTGCTGCCATTTTTCTGCACCCCAGTTCCTATGTTTTCCTGCATAGCTGAATAGCCTTGTTTCCATGTCTTACGTACGAAAACATAGAAATCGGGGTGCAATAAAATGGCAGCAGGTGCTCTGGATCCTTCTCAACTAGGTGTGTAGACGTTCCCCCCCCCCCCCCCCAGATTTTGTGCGTGCGCAGATGTGTGTTATTAATTGTAATTTATTATTATTAATAATCTTATCAATATAGGCAAACTTCCTCAATGAAGCAGTAACAGTGATTGGATAAAGGTCAAACTGTAATTAAAGGGCAATAAATAGTGACGCACAACCAGCTTCCCGGCAACACAAGGCTTCCTACACCATGCTGTCCATTCATAGCATTGCTCCTCTGCATCTGTTCTCTGCTACTGACAGCTAACCCCCATCAATAGATCTGAAGGCCGTTTTGCTTTGCAACTTAGACAGACCCTAAGCTCGATACCCACCCTTGTATGTGAACGGTAACAATGATCTTGCCTTATTTGCCCCCTTTTGGATTCAAAGTGTTACTACCGGACCCTGCATTCACTATATCCGCTCTCCCCGGACCCTGCATTCACTATATCCGCTCTCCCGGACCCTGCATTCACTATATCCGCTCTCCCGGACCCCGCACTATCCGCTCTCCCCGGACCCCGCGTTCACTATATCCGCTCCCCCCGGACCCCGCGTTCACTATATCCGCTCTCCCCGGACCCCGCATTCACTATATCCGCTCTCCCCGGACCCCGCATTCACTATATCCGGTCTCCCGGACCCCGCATTCACTATATCCGGTCTCTCCCCGGACCCCGCATTCACTAGATCCGGTCTCCCCGGACCCTGCATTCACTATATCTGGTCTCCCCGGACCCTGCATTCACTATATGTATGGCTCTCCCCGGACCCTGCATTCACTATATCCACTCTTCCCGGACCCCACAAAGGAGCAAAACATATGCACTATATTGCCAAACGTATTGGGCCAGCCCTCCAAATCATTGGATGCAGGTGTTCCAATCCCCTCCATGGACACAGGTGTATACAATCAAGCCCCTAGGCATGCAGACTGCTTCTACAAACATTTGTGAAAGAATGGGTCGCTCTCAGGAGCTCAGTGACTCCAAGCGTGGTCCCGTGATAGGTGGCCACCTGGCAATAAGTCCATCCGTAACATTTCCTGGCTACTAAATATTCCACATTCAACTGTTAGTGGGATTATAACAAAGTGGAAGCAACTGGGAACAACAGCCACTCAGCCACCAAGTGGTAGGCCACGTCACATGACAGGGCGGGGTCAGCACATACTGAAGCGCAAAGTGCGCAGAAGTTGCCAACTGTCTGCAGAGTCAATAGCTAAAGACCTCCAAACTTGGTGTGGCCTTCAGATGAGCCCAACAACAGTGCGTAGAGAGCTTCATGGAATGGGTTTCCATGGCCGAGCAGCTGCATCCAAGCCTTACATCATCAAGTGCAATGCAAAGCGCCAGATGCCGTGGTGTAAAGCACACCGCCACTGGACTCTAGAGCAGGGGAGACGTGTTCTCTGGAGTGACCAATCACGCGTCTCTGTCCGGCATTCCGATGGACCTGTCTGGGTAGGCGGTTGCCAGGAGAATGGTACTTGCCTGCCTGCATTGTGCCAAGCGTAATGTTTGGTGGAGGGGGGATTATGGTGTGGGGTGGTATTTCAGGGGTTGGGCTTGGCCCCCTAGTTCCAGTGAAGGGAACTCTTAAGGCATCAGCATGCCAAGACATTTTGAACAATTTCATGCTTCCAACTTTATGGGAAGAGTTTGGGGATGGCCCCTTCCTGTTCCAACATGACTGCGCACCAGTGCACAAAGCAAGGTCCATAAAGACATGGAGGAGCCAGTTTGGGGTGGAGGAACTTGACTGGCCTGCACAGAGTCCTGACCTCAACCCCATAGAACACCTTTGGGATGAATTAGAGCGGAGACTGTGAGCCAGGCCTCCTCCCCCGACATCAGTGCCTGACCTGACAAATGTGCTTCTGGAAGAATGGTCCAACCTTCCCATAGACACCCTCCTAAACCTTGTGGACGGCCTTCCCAGAAGAGTTGAAGCTGTTATAGCTGCAAAGGGCGGGGCCAACTCAATATTGAACCCTACGGACTAAGACTGGGAGGCCATTAAAGTTCATGTGCGTGGAAAGGGCGGGGCCAACTCAATATTGAACCCTACGGACTAAGACTGGGGGGCCATTAAAGTTCATGTGTGTGGAAAGGGCGAGGCCAACTCAATATTGAACCCTACGGACTAAGACTGGGGGGCCATTAAAGTTCATGTGTGTGTAAAGGCCGGCCGACCAATACTTTTGGTAATATATAGGGAGATTAACTAAAACTGGAGCTCTCAGAATCTGGTGAAGCTGTACATTGTAGCCTCTAACATCAGCTTGTTCATTTAAGCTTTGGCAATAAAACCTGGAAGCTGATTGGTTTCTAAGCAGAGCTGCACCAGATTTAGCACTCTCCAGCTTTAGTAAATAAACCCCATGGCGTATATCTAGATCACATTTAAAAGTGTTCAATGTGATTTGTAGATAGCTATTTGCAAAAAATGTGTTCATTGTGTGCATTTGTGAGAGACATGCATACAAGAATATTGTAACTTCAGTTTATGTGATTGTTTTGCAGAACTATTCACAGAGGTAATTTCAGTTTTGGAATGAAACACAACACTGCTTCTGTCACTTATCTTAGCTAGCTGTCGGTATACAATTAGTAGCACAGTATAGTTGTGGCCAGGGGCGGACTGACAACTCATGGGTCCCCCGGGCAATAGGGGATCATGGGGCCCCTGTGTCCTTGCCCAAACTAAGAAAAGCCTATGAAAAAGGTACCAGGGGCATCTCATCTGACTTCTCATGGGGCCCCCTACTGACCCCGCGCCTTCGGGCAGTGCCCGAGTTTCCAAATGGTCAGTCCGCACCTGGTTGTGGCCATGTATGCACAGTACACATCCCATTGTCTATAGTCCATCTTGAGTGAGGGTAGCTGCACTCCTACATAAAGTGCGTCCATGGAAAACGAATGCAGCCACCCTCTAACAGAAGTCAGACCACAGCAGTAAGGAAAATGAAAAACAATCTGGAGGAGATTTTTTACATTAAGAAGACAGATTGGAATAGAATCTATTCTTTAAACCGGAGTTTAGTGTCACCTTAAGCCTTAAGCCGCCCCAAACAGTGTTACCCCCCCCCCCCCCCCCCCCGGGTCACAGCAAACCCAACTTTGAAATCGTGCGACTTACAGTGTAATCGCACAGTTTCAAAGTCGGATGTGTCGGGTGCAATTTGCAAGACAGGAAACAAACACAGCTCCTCTAAGTGTGTACTGTGAAGGTATTTATTGGAAAGATAAGTAGTAACTCACATCTTAGAATTTAAAAACAGCCTCATGGATGAGAGGGTGAGACGTCTGTAGCCAGAAGTTGTGTGTCTGATCCAGAGAGGAGATCGATTGAGTCCGCCAGCAGGTGGTGCTGTGCATGTGCAACATGGATGGTAAGCCTGGTGGAATCTCCAAGGTGTCTGCCAGCAGATGGTGCTGTGCATATGCAGCATGGATGGTGGAGCCTGGCAGAGTCTCCAAGATGTCCGGATCAGCACATGTGGCGTCTGACGTCATCAAAATGCGACGAGATTCTGAGCATGTACAGGACGAGATGAGTCCAGGCGCGCTCTTTCATCAGGCCCTGCCTGCGGTTCTGACCAAGTCAGAACCGCACCGATACGACCGCTGTAATTGTGGACAATAGTGTGCAACTTAACATGCGATTGGTAAACCGCATGCCAGGATAGCCTAAGCTTAGAGAAAGGGGGTTGAATGAAGCTGGCTGTCAGACTGTGGACATCTAGTGGTGAGAAGGAAGTACTGCGGGGACATCTAGTGGTGAGAAGAAGTACTGCGGGGGGCATCTAGCGAAAGTATTAGGGGGACATCTAGTGGTGAGAAGGAAGTACTGCGGGCGACATCTAGTGGTGAGAAAGAAGTACTGCGGGGGGCATCTAGTGGTGAGAAAGTATTAGGGGAACATCTAGTGGTGAGAAGGAAGTACTGCGGGCGACATCTAGTGGTGAGAAAGAAGTACTGCGGGGGGCATCTAGTGGTGAGAAAGTATTAGGGGGACATCTAGTGGTGAGAAAGAAGTACTGCGGGGGCATCTAGTGGTGAGAAAGAAGTATTAGGGGGGACATCTAGTGGTGAGAAAGAAGTACTGCGGGGGACATCTAGTGGTGAGAAAGAAGTACTGCAGGGGACAGCTCAGGACTGCTTGATTTAATGGCTTACTGTTTTTTTTTTTTCTTGTTATTTTTTGACTGGAGTTCTGCTTTAAGCATTGTTTCTGATGGGAAACGCTTGGCAGCTGTCATGCACGCAGCATCAATTAGGGAAAGGTTCTCAGGTATGGAGCCTCTGGCAGGAGACAGTCCGCTGATGTAGAACTAGGGCTGGAAGGACACGGATCATTTTTGATTGTGAAGCTAAAATCAATAGAGATCGATCAGCTGCCTTAGAACAGGCTGCTTGCGATTGCAAAAGCTCCATTGGCAATTTTCAGTCAGAAGATTATTGTCATGGTCGCGGGTCGTTGCTCGGAAGGTAAAAACATCTTTTTGCTGAGCAGCAGAGTAGATTCACGCACGGCCGCTTCCACATGTCATCTTATAGGATTTGAAGTACAGGAAAATGTTTTGAACTTTACTTTCCTCTCCTCTGGAACTTCTGATCTCATGAATAAAGTATGTACAAAAATCACATGCAATTGCCCAGTCACGGGCAATACATCAAATATACAGAGTGCTCCGCGGATGACTGTTATATGATTTATGGGATTAAAGCTGAACTCCGGGGAAAGCAAAAACCCTCCCTTGCTGCGAGGCTGCTCCCGCACGGCAAGGGGTTCAATGCTTGTCTACATCCAGGGACGTGGGTACAGCACTTTTACATACCTGATCCTCCTCTCCTGCAGACTTCTCTGCACTGCCTGGTCCCCTTAGCCTCTTGTACCCTATGTGCTCGCTCTAGATGCCCCTGACATCATCAAGGCCAATGCAGGCCAATAGCCCTGCACTGGATGTAAGAATGCTGAGGAACGGTCCACCGCTGGAGCATAGGGAATCTCCATCTGCCATCCTTTAGACCAGGGGTCTCTAAACTTACTAAAAAAAGGGCCAGTTTACTGTCCTTCAGACTTTAGGGGGGATATACCCTTTCCAGAGGGAATAAAAAAGTCCCATCATTGGTGTCAGTGGGAGGAATAGTACCTCATCATTGGTGTCAGTGGGAGGAATAGTGCCCCATCATTGATATCAGTGGGAGGAATAGTACCTCATCATTGGTGTCAGTGGGAGGAATAGTGCCCCATCATTGGTGTCAGTGGGAGGAATAGTGCCCCATCATTGGTGTCAGTTGGAAGAATAGTGCCCCATCATTGGTGTCAGTGGGAGGAATAGTGCCCCATTATTGGTGTCAATGGGAGGAATAGTGCCCCATCATTGGTGTCAGTGGGAGGAATAGTGCCCCCGTCATTGGTATCAGTGGGAGGAATAGTGCCCCATCATTGGTGTCAGTGGGAGGAATAGGTGCCTCATCATTGGTATCAGTGGGAGGAATAGTGCTCCATCATTGGTATCAGTGGGAGGAATAGTGCCCCATCATTGGTGTCAGTGGGAGGAATAGTGCCTCATCATTGGTGTCAGTGGGAGGAATAGTGCCCCGTCATTGGTGTCAGTGGGAGGAATGGTGCCCCATCATTGGTATCAGTGGGAGGAAT